TGTTGCAGTGATAATTCATAACTATAGGGCAAGCAGAATTTAGCATTGTTACTTGGTTGGGTGTGAATATAGCCCAAATATCTCAAAGATTGGGGTGTTTTTTTTGACCAGAGCTCTTGCTTTATACTGACTCCCTAAAATATTTGTTGTGCTGCTGCTCAGCTACAGCAAGCCACTTATTTTTAGTGTTTTGCTATAAGCTCTGCGTGACAATCTGTTGCAGCCTCCAAGGAGACTCTTGTAAACCTGATGAAACAGGAGCTCTCTGGTGGTCTTTTGCTACACGGTTAAATACAATTGGTTGCTCACATATGTTTCTGTTCTGCCCAAAGTTCACCTTTTTTATGGACCTTCTTTCTGCCAGAGCTCAATAGAAGTCAGTGTAATAAGAAATTACATTTTAACCAGCTTTTCATGTTGCTTCATCTTTCTTATTCTGGATTCTCTATCTTTCAGCTCACAGCTAGGAGCTTGGTAGAGCAGCTCTTAACTAAACTGTGTCTGGTCTTCCCAGCACTAAAGAGTTAATTCTTCTGTCTGGGACATCTGCTTTATTGTCTGTTTCAATGAGGAATCTGCCTTTCGTATTTTTCATCCAGGAAAATAAGCCTTGCCTATACGTTAAATGTATATGTATGTAGCGGAAATACTGCACTCATTCCAGTCCTCTCTGTAACCAGGAAGGGCTGGATTTAAACTAAAGAAAAATATTTCTAACCTATGCATTTCACGATGTCAAACAAAACCCTCTTACACCAGTTGCAGTCGCACTCAGGTGTATGGGCAGCACTGGTGTAAAAATGCAGAATCTCCTTTTGTAATATCAGCCACTGGTGCTCAAAACTTGTGTATTTTTTCCACTCCAATTTCTGATACTGCCTTTAAAAGCGTAAGGCATAAAAACATGCTGGATGTTTTCTTACTATTTGCTTTCCTACTTGGCGTGTATTTTCTTAACCTCTGTAATTCATCACAGATCACATTTTCTTAGTTTCCTCTAGAAAAGCTGTTCCCTTTACAACACAAACGTAGGTTCTTGTGTATTTTCCCAATTCAAAGATTTCAGGAAGCTTTGAGATCTTTTGTAAACTCTGTGACAAAACTTTGATATTTCTAGCACTGGAACAGGGAGCGGAGAGCCAAGTTTCACAATGCTGCCCAGAAGACATGGGGGGAGCAGTCCAGGGCACATGGCTTTGCCTTGGGACTCAAATTTATAGACTTGTTTGTCAACTTCTTATTTAGTATTTCAAACACATTTTCTTTTGAAGTAGGACTTTCAACCCATCCAAGTCTCTTTTTCCAAAGGATACAGTGCTGTTAACTTCTGAACATTTAGTCTAACCTTGGTTTATTAATTTATTCCTCCCATCTTTACTTTCCTTATAATCATTACATTACAGTTTATATTGTAAACCATGATTTGATCCAAGTGCCTAGTGGCAGCTGTGACTGAAAGACCACTGAGCTTAGTCTGTTAAATAACTTTAATAGGCTTCTTCTAAATACATTGCTGCATATTGCTAGATCAACACATAAGGATTGAAAAGGTTTTCTGTGATGTTTCAGATTTTAGTAAGCAAGGAGCTAGGTCACCAGGTGACAAAACTGTCCATGTCCGTCTCCACTTCTTTGTTCCAAGTGTCACAAGCACTCTTCAAAACTGGGAGATTAATGAATAATCCTAAAGTATTCAAAGCTGAGGAAAAAAGAAAAATCATCCCTAGCAAGCAGGGCATGCACTGTTGCAAACATTAGAAAGTATAAATATATATATATTTAGAAAATATGCAAGTGTGTATATAAATGTATATTGTATATATGTGTATGAAACATATATAATAGTATGCAAATATAAAAAGTCCAAAGAAACAAAAACATTTTAATAAACTTGGGTGACATGATTTCGTGCAAGGTGTCCCTGCCAATGGCAGGGGGGTTAGAACTAGATGATCTTAAGGTCCTTTCCAACCTTAACCAGTCTATGATTCTACAATTCTAATGCATGGCCAGAGCAATGCTGTTGGGCTAAGCATGAAAAACTAAAGAACAGGGAAGAGTCTGGCAGCCTGGGAGGAAGGTTTTGTAGATGTGACATAGGATGAAGGCACGTGATTTAAACAGCCTGGCTGTGTATGTCAGATATGGGTTGGATAAACCAGGTTATGCTTCTTAGAAACAAAAGAGGTGAATTGTGTTTCAGCCCTGATAGCAGAAGAGGGCAGGAAGCTGAGGGCTCTGGAGCTGGTATCTTTTTTGTGCAGCGTTTTATCTTTTGTGCAAGAGGGGAAGACCTTTCCTGAGTAGTTCAATTGTGGGATAAGAAGCTTGGTGGTTGACTGTTTATGGCTTATTAGTACTTGTCATGTTTTGTTGGGTGACCTTGTCTTCAGATAACATTTGGTACAATTGCAGGCGTTTGTTGGGTTTGCTTTTTTAAAGGTTTCTTTCTGCCTTCAAAATCAGAATGTGTTTGTTTTGCCTGAAGAGTGTCCATTGGTTCTTCCTTATGAAAAGGTTCTTCCCTTTCTTAAATGCACATCTGAACTGGGGGGTGTAGCCTAAGATACAGACAGGAGTGCCTCTGGCAGTGAACAAAACATTTTACCTGGGGAAGAACATGAGTTTTGAGCTATTTTATCAAAAGTGGTGTCCGATTAAAGGCTGTCATTCTGTAAAATTATGCATGTCATGGACTTCTTTGCTGCTTCAGGAAATGTCTCCCTCATGCTTTTGTGCATGGCACCTTGCAACTCAGAAGGAGGTGGAGGTTAGATTTCTTGCTGGGCATACACTCAAATGATTTGGGTCTGGATGTGTACCATACCTTTACTTCACCATCAGATTCATCCCCAGAAGGCTTTAGTTTGACCCAAGTTAGCTGTCGCACTAGTTAGCCCAGTCTCAAGATGCAGTAAGTCTGTGGACAGTAAACGTCTAACTGAACACCGACCTCTCACTCCACCATGTCTGTTTATCTGCTTTGAGCTTCCTTTTCCCCTGACGCTCACTAAGTGTTCCTTCTGGTGAAGTGCTTGACTGGCTTTGAGCTTCTGTTTCCTTCACATCTCATGTCAGGGACAGGTCTTGGATGGAGAGGTTGCGAATAGGCTTCTTCAGCATCCCATGCTGGAAGATAGTGGGCATCACTGAAGCTCCCTAGGGTGTTGTGTCTGCCTCCCCTCTGCTGCAATGAAAACAACAGCCTGGGTTTTGGAGAGTGGGGATTGCTGTAAGCTCATGATGGTGGGTGTTTTTCACAGTGTGGAGGGAGGCTTGTCTCCACCTGTCGTGGTTTTAACAAAGTCAGCCATAAATCATGCAGTCGCTCTCTCATTCTACCCCCTTTTTTGCCTTCCCCCTGCTCCCGGAGGGATGGGAAGGAGAATAAAAAAACGAATGCAACTCCCATGGGTTGAGATAAGAACAGTTTAGTAACTAAGGTATAACACAAATCACTGCTGCTACCACCACTAATAACAATAATAAAGGAAATAACAAGGGAAGAGAATACAACACCTCAGCACCAGCTGACCAGTAACTCACCCCACCCAACCAAGCACTGACCAATACCTCGTCCAGCCCTGCAGTCCTGGCCCTTCTGGGTAACTCTCAGTTACATCCTGGGCATGACGTGCTGTGGTATGGAATACCTCTTTGGTCAGTTTGGGTCAGGTGTCCTGTCTCTGCTTCCTCTCGGCTTCTCTCCTCCCTGGCAGAGCATGAGGCTTACAAAGTCCTTGGCCAAACCAAATCATTTGAGCAGTAACTAAAAACATCGGTGTTAACAGCACTGTTCCCAGGCTGAAAGTCAAAACACAGCGCTGCACCAGCTACTAAGAAGGAGAAAAATTGACTGCTACTGCAGAACCCAGGACACCACCCTTCTGCTCAGAAATGTGGTTTCCCAGTGCAGCACTGGGCTGCAAACCACCAGCCACAGTTTGGGAAGCTGTGTCCTAGGTCCTGTTTAAAAAGAGCCCTGCAGAGTCTTACCCCAACTTGCAGTGGTGCTTGGAGAAGGGGGAATGGGTCTACTCTGGTCCCCCTGGGAAGCAGGGAAGCAGGAGATGAGCAGCCTGTGCTGCCCTCCCTGGCAGTTGGTCTCCTGTTGCAAAGCCTGGTGCTGGTGATGAGGCAGGGCTCTTGCCCTTCCTGCTCAGCAGAAAGAGGAGTTGTATTGGTAGAAGGCAGCTGAACACACAAACACAAACATATCCTTTTAAAGAAGTCATGGGTGTGTTTCTTCTGCTGATGCCAGCCTTTTCCTTTGCTGCTGGAAAGAAATGGAGAGAAATTAAGCTTCTGACAAAATACCAAACCAAAAAAACCTTGAGATTATTAGCATTTTATTGCTTGCTGGCTGGTGAAGATGAGAACAAAAGGGCTTAAAGGGTGTTTATTTTTCTCATCTGTTTGAGGTTATCAGTTCTGTTTCCAGTTTTTTATTGGATCATACCTCTTCAGGCCAAGCTAGCACCCATGGGAGGTAGTGGATGGACAGACAGCCATTGCCTCTGACTCCTCATTACTCAGCACAGCAATGTGTAGCACTTTGTGCAGGCAGCCCAGCTTGTGCACGTATAACCCAAGCCCAACTGCCTGGGTGGCATAGGCAGTGGTGGGGTGGAGCAAGTGCCGTGCTCCAGATGAGCCTGCCCAAGCAGCATGCTTGTGACAATTGTGGCCATCATTGTGATAAGAGGCATGTCTGCTCCAGTGTGTACATAGATGGATAAGCAGGCCTCAGGGTAGGTGCCAGCTGATAAACCATTTGTAGTCTTGATTTCCTTTTGGGACACCAGCTCAGGGAAAGGCTCTGAACTGCCTTTTCTACTCGGGGACAGAGGTGGGATATGAGCGGTGGAGGGGAAGATCGGTAACATGACTTACAGATCAATTAAACTCACATTAATTTATGAATTTGACTCTGTAAAAACTTCCCATCTTTTTCCAGTGGTAGTAGTAGTAATCTGTTCTTGTCTTTCTGTTTTCTCCAGACGATTTTGCAGAGGAGGAGGAGGTACAGTCCTTCGGCTACAAGAGGTTTGGTAAGTGGCAGCAGATCTTTCAGCTTGCTATTGCATAGTGCTTATGGTAAGCCAAACACTTGCTATGAAAACCTCCCTTGCTGGCAGCATCAAACATGCAGGTACAGTCCTGTTACCCACTTCAGCCTAATATCTGCCCAGTGGAAGGTGTGATTTTTAGACTTGGTTTATTTTCTTGGCAAGCACACACTTCAGCAATAGCCCTGATCTGAAGCAAGTGATTGGTTTCGTTACTTAATCACTAGCATTACAAACCTGAAGCCAATGCCTGAACAGAAATTAATGTGCTGGCTGCTAAAAAGGCTCCACACCTCTTCCATGTCCCTTGCCCATTTGAGCTTTCCTTTGGCCCACAGACCAATGTGCAGTAGGGTTTGTAGGTTTTCCCAGTACCAGTGGCATGGAACCTCCTGTAGACTCGCGGAAGCTGTACTGCCAACTGTGACAGGAGATATGCTGTGCACCCCTCTCAAAAAAGAAGTAAAAGTATATGATATGAATGTACTGTGGTGTCAAAAATTAGTAAAATGAGGTCAGTCTCTTTCTTTCCTTTTCCCACTTTCTTTCCTTTTATTGTGTGAAGAAGTACATCTCTGTACAGGGGTCAGCAGCCTTCAAGAATCCTCTTTTCTAGGCTCCCGTGCTCTTTCCCTCAGGGTAACATTTCAGTCTCTGCCCAAGGCAGCTGAATGCTACTCCTACAAGCACAGGGAGGTGACATGGTGTCCTCTGAGCTCCCACAGCACCGACTCTTTCTTGGAGCAGCCAGGGGGTCTCATCATTCAAGCTGCTATCTGCCTTTTCAGCTGTAAGCCATCAGGATAAAAGTTCACCTTATTTTTTCCCTCCTGGGAAAATGGCTGCAGCAAGAGTCACTCTGAACAACCCCACTTGGCAAACGGATAGGAAAGGCAGGCTGAAAATGAAAAATAAGTCAACAATCCCTTCCGAGCAGGGGGAGGCAGTGTAAGGAGATGCAGCATTCAAGAGGTGGGGAGCACATTCGCATGACCTCTTCTCCCCCCTGAACTACTCCTCCGCTCCCTGCTGTTGAGCTTTATTTTGGATAGATCAGCCAACCACAGAGCCAGCATCTGTGGCTTGGAAAGTCCTGCCATAAGGCTGCACACAGGGGTTTTTTCTTTCATTTTTTATATTTTTTTTTTTTTTATTAGGCCCTGGAACATAAAAAAAATAAAATCTTGAGAAATGGGAAGAAATGTGAACTGTTCATTTCTGTCATCTCCAGCTGGATTCATTACCACCTATAAAAATAGCTTTCCTCTGTGTTGCCCGCTACCTAGCTATCCCTGGTCAGCATGCTCTTGCAGTGAACTGTGGCAGGTTTTAGCAAGGAGCGAGCGCTTCACTGTCCTTACTATCCCAATAGTAAGTGCACTGTTGTGATGCGCATGATGGGACTTTTGCATGTTGCTTTCATTTCTTTCTCCTGGGTAATGTGGTCTACCAGTGTGAGTTATTTCTTCCCTTAGAAATGCAAGGTTTATCTGAGCATTTCCAGAAATGCTTGTGCTGTTGTGCTTGGTGATGTGGCAGGAGGGAAGAGAGGGCCAGCAGTCTGGCAGTGGCAGGAGAAAGAGACTTCACCACAAAAGAAGACAGGGTAGTTCTACCCTTAGGAAACAATCATAACGCACTTCTCCTTCATGAAAACATGACTGTGGTCAGGGAACTGTCCCAGATGCTTGCAGTGCAGACATCTGCAGACATCTGCAGAAGAGCCTCAGCTAAAGGGTGAATAGGGGTTATGAAGCCGTAGCATTGGCACTGGTGAGAGTTGTGTAACTCAGTGGTGTAGTGATCTAAGAAGCTTTCTTTCTCCATACTATTTCTGAGCCCAAACTTCTTCCTGTTTCCCCTTCCTCATCTTTCCCAGCATCATGGGGCAGCACATGGAGGAACTAGGTGGACCTGGTTTCCCTACATCCCTCCACCAGCACTTGTGCTGTTTGCCTGCAAGCACTCATAAATCAGAACAGTTTGGGTTAGAAAGGACCTTAAGATAATCAAGTTCCAACCCCCCTGCCATGGGCAGGGACACCTCACACTAAACCATGTCACCCAAGGCTCTGTCCAACCTGGCCTTGAGCACCACCAGGGATGGAGCATTCACAACTTCCTTGGGCAACCCATTCCAGTGCCTCACCACCCTTACAGTAAAGAACTTCTTCCTTATATCCAATCTAAACTTCCCCTGTTTAAGTTTTAACCCATTACCCCTTGTCTTATCACTACAGTCCTTAATGAAGAGTCCCTCCCCGGCATCCCTGTAGGCCCTCTTCAGATACTGGAAGGCTGCTATGAGGTCTCCACGCAGCCTTCTCTTCTCCAGGCTGAACAGCCCCAGCTTTCCCAGCCTCTCAAATAGATGGGTTGTTCCCCCTCCTTCAGAAAACCCAACTCAGTGCATTCCCATTTCTGCAGTTCTCACTGCATTTCCAGGCAGCCTCTGAGCAACCTCTGGTGGGAGTGGGAGCCATATGCCTTCAGCAGTGCTGGCTGCTTCACCTGGCACTAAGATCCTCCATTTAGTAAGGTGATATGCATGTCTTTAAAGAGCTCCAAATTCACTGGCCAGCTGCATCAGCATTTCCAATGAAGCACCAGAGGTTGTTCTTGGGGCAGAAATGCATCTTAGTAGTTCAAGCTCCTGCTTGACCAGTCAGAAATGTTAAGTCTGCTGTCCCAACTGGTGTTCCCTCTTTGCGTTGTGTCCTCACTGGTAAGAGAGCTCAATGTAGGGGAAACCCAAGGCAAGAACCAAATTCTGATAAAAAGTCATCTTGAAAGGAGTCCCATCCTGCCTACTGGCTGGCACTGCAGAAATCCCAGTGCTGTTCATGTACAGCCTCCTGGAGTGGGCAGCAATAAATGCAGCAGTGGGGTTTTTGTTTCAGGAGCCGTGGTCTAAGGGAAGTGGTGTTAATATATTGTGACCAGAGTACTCCCTCTGTGTGCTGTTGACATGAGACATGGTCAGAGGTCCATGACTTAAGTGCCTTTGACTCCATCATTTGGAAGTGTGAGGCCTTGTTTGGAGCAAAATGTATTCAAGGGGGAGATGGCTAAAGCACAACTGGTTTGTAAAAAACATGGATTGCAGTGAGTCACTGCTGGCAGCTGGGAACATGTGTGGGTCAGCACTTGGCAGGCAAAGCCTTGATCAAACTGCTTTCCTAGAGTTCAGCTGAGGAGTTTATTATTAGCTGCCGTGTTGCTGGAGACTGTAGTTTGGTTCAAGGGAGGAAGAGATCTGCAGGGGGAAGGAGGGACAGAAGCATTCTTCAACAGTGTTCATTTTGGGGAAGGAGCTTTTGAAAAGAGGACTGAATACACAATATCCTGCACCGCTTCTCCTTTTTTGCCACAGGGAATCCGGGGGGCAGGGGGGGTTGAGGAAAGTGCTCTTTCCAGCTGACTGATGCTGTTTACTTCTTCTCAATGGATGCTACAGATGTGCAGGGACACTGCCAGAAATGCGATGCTCAGCTGCAGTGCCTCCAGATTACTGCACTGAAAAAGCACGTGAGGAAGCGTGTTTCTTATCATGGTTACTTCATCATCAGTCACTGCTCAGGCTGCTTTGAAGCTATCTGCTCCAGATAACAAGTTATGCCTATCCAGTTAGGCATAACTTAACGAAATGTTAACTCTTTCGTCAGTCAGCGTCATTGGTTTGCACCACCCCATGCACACTCCACTTTGGGAAAGAATGAATGAAGAAAGAGCAAAACTTGCTTTTCAATATTACATACTTTTGGGGTGCTAAATCTCAGGCCTGAGAGCTTAGGCTAGTGTCTAGATGGCAGCAGGGTGACATCTCTTTATGGCAGGGTTTTGACTCTGAGATTCAGGTTCTGGGCATAGGCACAGATGAGGAAATTGAAAGGAACTAATGGACTCCGAGGTGGCCTGTCTTCCTAGTTTGTGGCATTCCCAGGTAATAGATATAGAGATCATTTTGAATTTGGTTTTTTTTATGTTAATGTTTTAGATCTTAAAACCTGCACTTTACTGAACAGAGTATTTAACGTAGAAATTTCAATGTGAAATTATTCATTGCAAGTTACAATACAATATCAAACAGCTGAATGCAAAGGACATAGTTGTTGAGCTGTCAAAGGGAATGTCCTCTGAACTGTTGCAAAGCACACTTGTCAATGTTTTAGAAAACAGGCTTTGAAGAAATGGGCTGAAAACCCTGCTGATGAAGAGAAACCTCTCAAGGAATCAGAAGATAGGGCCAGTGCACTATAGATAAGTAGAAGACTAAACAGCTTGTGTAAGATCATTACCCCTTGCCCTTGGCAAACACAGCCAGAATTGGAGGCTGTAAGCTTGTACTTCACAGTGAGACTCATATCAGTCACCCTTATGCTCTAGATCATGAGTCAGGGTCCTCCTCGCCTTCACCTTCTCACTCCTCTGCCATGGGGGCTGAGCCATTGGTAGGGGACAGTCCTGTGTGTCCCCAGGTATCTCCAGTGTACACCAAGGCACTGGCCCTCTGGTCTTCCCCACACCCTGTAAGTCAACAGCTGTTAGGAAAGGAGGGATAAAAATTAATTGGGGTTCCTATCAAGTAAGGTGGGTATATTTTTAGGTATCTTCCATACAGTATGTAAGAGATGTCTGCGTCAGGATGTCACTTCTGTGTGCTCATGCCAGTCTAGCTCCTGAGCATTATTTCAGGTGTGAGAATTAAATCTAGAGATTTCTGGATCAGAAATGGATGAATCATCGTGCCACACAGTAATGAAATCTGCTACACTAAAAAGAGGTGGGGGGGGGGGGGGTAAAAGGTGTTTAACAACATATTTGGAAAATAAGATTTTTTTCCTTCACGAGTGGCTCGGGAGCAGCCTAAACTAAATCCATTTAATAACTGCTTTCTCACTATATATTGTTTATAATATTTTATACAGTGAGAAGCTATATATTATTTCTCCACCTTTGATAGGATGCAGCTGGGGAGGTTT